CCTTTTCTCCTCAGCCCTTCGTGGCATCCTCGGCCACATCTCGCTGCCCCAGGGCCTCCCGCGCATTGCGATGGGCTGCACCTCACAGGCTCAGGACACAGGGGGACCCCTTGGTGCCGCCGGGCGGGATTGCTGGTCCCCACAGCGCGGAGCTGCATCCCCAGCCTCCCTCCTGCTCTGCGATTGCTCGGGGCTCTGCCAGGCCCCAAGTTAGACGAGTTGTCGTGACCAATGGCCCACGTTGCGGTGTGGAAGGCCGGGGCTGCGGGGCCGCCGCTGTTGCCCTTGGCGAACGGGCGCCCGTGGCTCGCAGAGCCGGAGGGGCCGCGCGGAGCTGGTGCTGCCGCAGCTCGCCAGGCTCCGGCGGTGCCGCGCAGGGACCCCCCAAACGCAGCGAGGCCGGTGTGTCCCTGCGTGCCAGGCCTGTCCCTGCCCGTCCCCGGCCGACAGGCGGCAGTGCCGCATCTCGCCAGGGGACAGTGCCCGGGGACAGGCGGCCCCGCCAGGTGCCCCAGCACCCGGCACCTGCTGCCCTGGGGCGGCCTGGGCGCCGCAGCTCAGCCGCCACCGGGGCAGGGCGGCCTGGGCGCCTGGCAGCCGCGGCTGTGTGTGCCCGGCTCTGTGTTGTCCCCCTGGGAATGCCCATGGAGTTCCCTGCTCGCCCAAGTGCGGCTCGCGGTGCAGCCCGGCAGGGGCTCTGCTGCCCCAAGGCTGCCTGCAGAACCGAGGGGGAGCAGGAAGAGGATGCGCCATGGCTGCTATCCCTCTGCACGCCCCCCGGACAGCTCCCAAGGCTGGCAGCACCCCTCAGGACAAGCCAGCACCCAGTGAAAATGGGGACTCTTCAGGGACACCAACACCTGCACAGCAGAAACTTGTCATCGCTGATGGTCCTTCCTCATAGGCAGCCTTCCCGGACACCTGGGCCCATCGTGCTCAGCACAAGCCTTTGAGTCTGGTCAGTGTGAGTAAGTGAGGCCGGGATCCTCACTGCTATAACCATCACCCCATCCCAATGTCTGGGAAAGCCTGACCGAAAGGCCACCACTTCCATGTGCTTCATCACTGCTCATTGCCAGGAAAAGGTTAGTGTGGGGGGGGGCACCCCAATGCAGGGGGGTCTCTGGGGTGACCAGACAAGACCTTAGCAGTCACTCACAAAGAGCCTCTTCCTATGGGTGGCTCATACCGTTTGTTTGAATCCCCGTAGCAGCACTGTCTGCTGTCACTGGTGTGGGAACTGGAGAAGAGACAGCTGAAAAACCATTTCCCCCACTTAATCAGATGTGATCGTCTAGTGACGGCTGAACAGAGGGGCCTGGAGGGGGTCGTGGGCATAAGTTCCTCATCTACAAAAGCAAAGCAGGTCCCTGACCCATGTGCTGGTGCACATGTGGTGGGAGAGATCCTTGCTGGAGGCTGCACAGCACAAGTACTGGTGTTTCATGGTGGTTCAATATATTCACCTGGTCCTTGGCTGGCCACAGCATTCCTGGCGCAGGGCAGTGCTCGTGCAATGGTGAAGTCCCTCACTGCCGTAGCCAGGAGGAGCTTCCAGCGTGCCCAGCACCAGCTGCCCATGGTGCACATGGTGAAGACTCCTGCGAAGTCCCAGGTGGCCAAGCCCATGGGGTGGTCAGCGTGCCTGAATCCCTTGCTGAGGCCAGCAAATGGATGAGAGATACAGAGGAGGATGAAGGGGAGAAGACTGAAAAGTCGTGAAAAGGAGCAATAGAAAAAGAGGTCACAAGGAAGAAGCTCTGTTCCTGTCTGATCCTGAATGGGACAGAGAGTCCATGGAAAAACAGGTAGTACTAGGATTTGAATAAACCTTCCCTGAGAATACTGATGCCTGTTGGTAAGAGACGAATTTTGCTTATGGGCTCTGCCTTGTCAAGGAAACCGGAATGAAAGGTAGAGTTTGAGCCTGTGCACAGACTGAGCCAGACGCCTGGTAGCTAAATCCTGGCCCAAGGCATGGAGCTGCCCCCGCTCCTCTAAGACAAATTGCCCCCAGTCCTCCTGTGCATGTTGTTTTACACCAGTTTGGGCCCTGTGCGAAATCAATCGGCACCTTCCCTCTCTCGCTCCCAAACAGCAGTAAATCCCTGTGTTTGATCAGGAAGAAACAACACGCGACCTCTGCCCCGGGCCATGGCTGCCGCCATCCCTCGCTGCCCGGCCCGCCGGCCCCGCCGCGGCGGATGGTGCCGAACCGAGTTCCCGCGCAGCGCGGCGCAGCCCCACGGGGAATGAGGGCGTCACGGGCGGGTGCTGCCTCCCGCTTGGCCACGCAATGACTTCCCTCCATTGTGTCTCTCCTCCCTTGGGCGGCTTGTCCAATCTGCGGTCTCCCACCACCTCCCTCCCACTGGCTTCGTTGGCTGTTCCTCCTCTTTGGAGAGCTTCATTTCCGCCGCAGGGCTCAACGGGCTCCCCGGCATCGCGAGATCTTTCTTAGTTTCTCTGTCCTTCCATCAAGTCGGGCGCTTTGGGCAAGGCGGTCTGCAGAGGGGTCCCTCCCACGAATCCCCTGCCCTCCTCCGAGTCTGGTCTTGTTGGGACAGCTGGGATCTGTCCCAGGAAAGGGCTCGCTATGGTGGACATCTAGAAACTTCCCTGCCGGGGCACAACAGCTTTCAGCGAGGCCCTCTCAGCACCGCAGGCCCTGGACGAGCAGCAGCTGTGTGTGACTCCAGCCCTCGGATAGGGGAGAGCGGGGCTGGGGAGTGCACACGGGTGCCACCGAGCAGGAGTGCGGTGGCATACGGAGGCGCTTGGTGCTCCTGGTGCCAAATAGTGCTGGTGCCGCCTGGCACTGCACCTCACAGCATGACCTCGGGATTACTTCTTGACTGTCCATGCCTGGGAGACTGTCTGCATCCATGGGCACGTGCAGAATGCCCCATGTCAGGGCTCCGCTCTTGCCCAGGGACTCTGGCTCTGGCTGGGAGTGAAGTGGGTTTCTACTCAGCAACCACAAACTTGGAGGGAATGTGCTAAGCTGGGAGCTCCTCTCACGCACCTTGGCTTTGGAGAAGGTTACACTGTGGTTATTATGATTCCTTTAGCATGCACACCAAGGCATGTAGTCACAGGCCTTGTTTTTGCAGACGACAGTCTGGCAGAACGTGGAGGAAAATGCAATTCTTTCCTATGGCAGAGACAAATCTGAATTTGAGTGCGGTTGTGAAGGGAGAGCATTGCCTATATTTGTTCTGGGCTATCCTGTTTCTACCCACGAGACAGCAGGGCCTTAACCACTCATCTCCGACAGCCAAGAACGGAGCCTGGGCTTCCTCTCCCGCGACACCTTGCTGCCACCCAGCAAACAATCGGCTGGGTGTGCCGCATCCTCCCCATCCTCTCCCTGGCGGCCGCACGGCCTCCCCGCCTCGGCAGCTCGAGGGACGGAGGCTGCGCCGCCGAGAGCCGGGGCCGGGGTTGCGGACTGGCTGCTTGACCGCTCTGCATCCTATGTGTTGCTGCAGGAACGTTTTCTCCAGCCCCTTTCAAATAGCAAACCCAAACCCTAAGCGTTTTGTTTGCACAGTGGAAATGTGCAGTGTAGCCCCCTGTGTGCTGCTGTTGCGGGACCAGCTGCGGTAACGCGCTACCGCTGCAACGACCCAAAGCCAAGACATCCACGGAGGCAGGAGGCCGCCGTGCAGCTTCTGCAGGGAGGGGAAGCAGGAGGGCTGGGGGCTCAGCTGAGCAAGGGGACACACGGAGCCCACGGACTGCCTCTGCCCCAGAGAGTTTGGGAGACTCGACTGGAAATAATCTTGGGCAGCTCCGGCGCAGCGGCCGGGGACCCTGCAGTGCAGGAGGGCTCCCTGCACCACCGCCCGTGCTCGCCACGACAGCCGCTCGCCGCGACCACCTGAGCTGCAGGGGCCCGGGGCGGCAGGCGGGTCCCGGGCCCTCCGGCCGCGGCGGGAGCCCGGG